GCATATATTTCAGAATACAGATTTTGTTAGGTTTACATGTAAGAATTTCATTGGATTCTATTGTAAATGGTACTATTTGTTTTTTAATTTGTTTTCTAGTTGTTTGTTGCACTCATATACAGTTGATTTTTATATGTTGATCTTGTATCTGTAACCTTGCTAAACTCACTAGTTCCAGGAGTTTTTTTCTGTGGGGTATTCTGAGGTTTTTTTTTGGTTTGGTTTTTTTTAATGTAGACAATCATGTCATCTTGGAGTAGAGACTGTTTTATTTCATCCTTTCCAGCCTGTGCCTTCTGTTTCTGTTTTTGCTTTATTGAGCTGGCTAAGACTTCCAATATAAAATTGAATAGAAATGGTGAGAGCAGACATGTTTGCTCTGTTCCTAATATGAAGGAGAAAGCATTGTCTTTCACCATTAAATAGAATGTTACCTTTAGGTTTTTTTGTAGATCCCATTTTATCAAGTTAAGAGACTTCTATTCCAGTTTGCTGAAAGGTTTCTACATAAGTGGATGGTGAATTTTGTCAAATGTGTTTTGTGCATCTATTGAGATAATTGTACAGATTTTCTTAATATGCTGAACTAGCCTTGCATTCCTGGGATAAACTTCACTTGGTCACGTTGTATTATTATTATGTTTTTTTCTTATTATTGGATTCTATTTGCTAATATTTGCTTGAGGAATTTTGTGTCTCTGGTCATGAGGGTTATTGGTCTATAGTTATCTTATAATGCCTTTGTATGGTTTTAGTAACAGGGCATTGCTGGCCTTATAAGTTTGGAAGTATTCTCTTCTTTTCTATAATCTGAAGGAGATTGTGTAGAATTGATATTATTTCTTCCATAAATGTTTGCAGGAATTCACCACTGAAGTGATCTGGACCTGGAGTGTTCTTTGTGGAAGGCTTTAAGTGTGAATTCCCTAAATAGATATAGGGCTCTTCAGGCTATCTCCTCTTCAGTGAGCTTTGGTCTTTCTAGGAGCTGATCCAGGTTATATAAGTTGTTGGATATGGGCTTAGAATTGTTCATAGTATTCTTGCGTACTTTCAAAGTCTATAGTGATAATCACTCCTTCAGTCCTGATTTTGATAATTGATGTCTCCTTTATTTTCTTGATTTTTTTTCTCTTTTTCTTCCTCCTGGATTTCATTATTTTCTGCTCTTTTATTTCTCTCCATCTGTTTGCTTTGGATTTAATTTGCTCCTTTTCTAGTTTTTTAACATGGAAACTTACTGTTTTGAGATTTTCCTTCTTTTCTATTACAATCATTAAATGTTACAAACATTCCTTTAAGTACTGATTTATCTATATCATAAATTTTGGTATGTTGCATTTTCATGTTCGGTTAAAAATATTTTCTCATTCCCCTTATAAGTTCTTAGACCTATGGATTATTTAGAAATATGGTTAATTTTTAAACATTTGCACATTTCCCACTTTTTTTGTTGTTTGATGTCTGATTCTGAGAGTAAGCATACTTTCTATGATTTTTAATCCGTTTAAATGCATTGAGACTCCTTTTGTTGCCGAGCATATGGTCTGTCCTGGAGACTGTTCAGCGTGTGCTTCAAAAAAATATGAATTCAGCCACAATTTGGCAGAGTACTCTCTTTATATTGTCAGTTAGACTGAGTTGGCTGATATTGTTGTTCAGGGTTCTGTAACCTTGCAGTTTTCTTTCTAGTTCTGTCAATTATTGAAAATAGGGTATTGAAATCTTCTATTGTTACTGTTAGACTGTTTCTCCTTTCAGTTCTGTCACTTGCTGCTTCATGTATTTTGAGGTCTTCTTGTTAGGTCTACATTAAGTTTGTAATTGATGTATCTTCCAGATGTAGTGACCCTTTTATCATTATGACATGTTCCCCTTGGTTTCCAGTAAGGTTTCCTTTGTTAAAAGTCTATTGCGTCTGATATTACTATAGCCACTCAGTTCTCTTATGTTACTGTTAGCATGGAAGGTATACCTTTCCCCACCCTTTTACTTTCAGTCTGTTCGTGTCTTTGAATCTAAGGTACATCTCTTGTTGGCAACATAGTTTGATCTTTCTTTACCAAGTCTGACAATCTCTGTATTTTTATTGGAGTTTTTAGACCAGTCATATTTAATATAATTATTAACCCAGTTAGATTTACATTTGCCATTTTGCTGTTTGTTTTCTATGTGTTGTATTTGTTCCTCTGTTCCTCCTTTACTTTTGAGTTAAATACTTTCTAATGTGCCATTTTAGTTCTTCTCATTTTTAAAACTAAATTTTTAAAGTTATTTACCAGTTGCCTATCTATAGAATCTTTTATATTAATCCACATATTTTTGGTGCTCTTTATTTCTTCCTATGGATTGGGGTAATTTCCTTTTAGCCTGAAGGACTTAGTTAATATTTTTTGTAATGCAGGTTTGCTCTCAGGGAATTCTCCCATACTTTGTTTACCTGGGAATGTCTTTATGTTGCCTTTATTTTTAAAAGATAGTTTTACTGGTTATGGTATTCATGTCTGATAGTTTTTCTTTCAGCATGTTGACTGTCTTTCTGCTGCCTCTGACTTCTACTATGTCAGATGGCAAATCATTCTATCTTGTTGGTCACACTGATGCACACATGCACGCACACCCCACCATGCATGGTAAACCACCTTTCACTTGCTTTCGGGATTTTCTTTTTGTTTTTGTCTTTCAGCAGTTTGACTGTGCTATATCTTGGTGTGGATATCTTTATATAATATTTGTCCTATTTGGGTTCTGTTGAGCCTCTTGGAAGTGTACATTAAAGTTTTCCATCGAATTTGGGAAATGACCCCATTATTTCTTCAAATATCTTTTCTCCTTTGGGGTTTTCCATCATAAGCATGTTGGTGTGCTTGATGTTTTCTGAGGCTGTGTTCATTTTTCTTTAGTTTTGTTCCTCTCTGTTCATCAGATTAGATAACTTCTGTTGATTTATCTGCAGGTTCAGTATCTCATTCTTCTGCCTTCTTGAGTCTGGTGTTAAACACGGTGAATTTTTAATTTCAGTTACTGTATTTTCAAGGTTTTTATTTGACTTTTTAAAATAATTTCTGTCTCTTAAGAATCTCTGTTTATGGGTTTCTTGTCATGTTTTTCTTTAATTTTTTTAAACATGACTTCCTTTGAACATATTTATAGAAGCTGCTTTGTCTGCCTTTTTGTTTTTATCTGCTAAATTCAACATCTGGGGACACTTAGAGACAACTTCTCTTGACTACTTTTTTTCTCAGTATGGGTCATACCTTGTTTCTTTACAATCTCTTAATTTTTTGTTGAAAACTGGACATTTTAGAGACTATATTTTAGCAATTCTGGGTTCTGATTTTTGTCTCTGAAGGTTGCTATTGTTTCTGCTTTATGTTTTTTTGTTTGTTTGGTAAGTAACTTGCCTGGGCTAAATCTCAGAAATTTGTCTTTCCTGCAGCTCTATTATTTTATGTTTTTCTTTTTAAGTTTGGCTTCCTAGGGTTCAACTGCATCTATGTAGATTAATGGCAAGCTTTCCTCAAACCATTAAAGCTTCTGTCCCCTGCCAATGGATCCGTCTGTGGGTAGGGAGCACATTCAGAGCTCAGATCATTTTCAGGTTAGCCCTGGCTTTTAATTTCTCAAGGGCCCTTTTGTGTCTCATTTACACGTATGCAGCCTCAGAGTTGGCCAGAGTATGTGGCTGTCTTGAACCCCATCTAATCGCCACTGTTTCTGTACTCAGTCTCCGCCTGGAATATCTTGCTCGACCATGTAACCTCTGCTGGTGGAGCCTTTAGCCTGCCCTGTTCCCCAGCCTCTGGATTGTCACTGCCACCACCCCTGACTGTGGGCACCTCCCAGTGGTCCAGGTCAAGTGAGTCTTCTCCCTCACCAGGGTAGCTGTGGCTGCCAGTCTCCACAGCTGGCTGCACCCTGGCAGATCCTCCATGTCCCCCAAGGAGAGGACGAGTAGGCGCAGGGCAGCCCCCACCACCCCGTCTCCCCCCAGCCAGGACGCCACAGATTTCCACTGTTTGTGCCTGCAATTCAGCAGTTTTACAAACATCAGCACTTCTCAGATGGCTCTTTGCCTTTGGTTGGTTTCCAGAGCACTGATTTTTGTTGACTGTCTGTGTTTATATTTATTTTGGGGGGACCTGGGTTAGCTGACTGCCTCCCTCACCTGTGGCTGGAACTTCCATCCCCTGAAGACTTTTAGCTCATAGAGATTTCCTGTGGTCAGCTTATCAGAATTCTCCTTGTTCACTTGATGTTTGGTATGTCAGGCTTGTTAAGCTGATTTTCTGCTTTTAAAATAGAAATGCGACTTACTAAGTTCTGTTTTAGGACAGCCATGAATTCTGAGATAGCAGCTTTCTTTATTGCATTCATGGAAAGTTTGCGTTTTCTATTTTTGGTTTAAGTAATTTAAAAAACAAAACGGAGGAGAAAAGCTACAGTCCTGAGATACTTTCCATAAATACTAAATTTTCATTTGTATATATGAGATTATATTGCATTTGGACACATTTTTATAAATATAGAAATTTTATGTGCTTTGTAAGAATTACGTATTGAATTCCCCTTTATCATCCCTTTCTTGCCTGGAGGGCTTAATGTGGACATACAGGACCTAGCATTATGTTAGTTTCTAAGAAAGAGAAAGTTCATACTGAAATAAAAGTTACTTTTAAATTTGTTAAGTACTTTGAGGATCCTTGAAGAAAATAGCACTTGAAGGTTGTGATTATTCTTGTTACAATTATAAAGTTTTGTTAATTTGTCAAATTGGAATTTCATTCTTACAAACTAAAAAAGTCTATTGTATCTTTCCTATGGGTCTTTCAGTATTCATTATGTTGCTTGTTTTTAGGTTAGTAAAGAATTACCATGGTTGACCTTTTACTAAATAACTTTCTGTCAAGTAGCCAGTAGCTATAGAAACAGCTTTTCCATTGCAGTGACTAATTAATTTCAGACCCAAATGTGCAGCGCTCTCGGTGTGTGTCTTGCAGGTCGCTTTGAAGAAGAATTTATCAAAATGCGCATGGAGAGGCTTCAGGCCTGGATGACCAGGATGTGTCGCCATCCAGTAATTTCAGAAAGTGAGGTTTTCCAGCAATTTCTGAATTTCCGGGATGAAAAGGTAGGATATTTTATTCTGACAGTCTTAAGAGTATATTGAGAATTGCCACATGCACACCAATTTTATGCCTGAAAGGAGTTAAAATTCTGTCGGCTAGGTGGTTATTTCTCATTTCCTCCAAAGATGATGAGGGGATAGAAAGCTAAACCCCAACCCTAGGAGATTAGTTGTAAAATGTGAAAGAACTTTCTGCCAGGATGGCTTTCCATAAACGGGGAATGGAGTGGACACGGGATAAAGGATGTGATAGAGTGAGAACACTTTTCCTAGATGCTTTTAAAAATTAGACACCAAACTATGCAGGATATTATCAGCGTGAAGTGAGGGTAATAGACTGAGTGATGTTTTTTTTGTTTGTTTTTTTAAGATTTTATTGGGGAATTGGGGGAGGGGAACAGGCAAGTTGCTGTCCTTTTGTTATTCAGTCTAGCTGTGGAGGATGTCGCTTTACTGGCCCATGTTGATATTATGGTCATTGTGTTCTTCCCAGCTGAGGCAGTCATTCACCGGCT